TGAAGTGCATTTATTTTTTCCACTAGAAATTTATTTGCACTTTCTAGAATATATGTTTCAATTTTCAATGCATGCTCACTATCATCAACCTCTGTTACATATACCTCTAGTGTCTTATATGAATTTTCTATTTCAATTTGTGATATTTTTAAGGAAACATATGCACTGGATAAATCAATATGTTTCTTATTTATTGCATCATATTCATTAAGTAAAGTCATGTGATCATTATCTAAGTTTGATTGCTTAGTAATCAAACTAGCATGCTCTTTTGCATATTAGAAAATTCAGTTTTCAAGTTAGTATACATCTTCTTAAGTTTCCTATACGAATCAAGATTTTTTTTTTTTTTTTGAAATACTAAATAATTCATCATAGAAAAGTTGACATACCTCATCTTGATATTGATTGGCTAATATTATTGTTAGCCATAATAAACATGTATGTTGCCTTCTCCACTGCTTCTTGTTTTGAAGATTCTGAGTGGGAGTCAGCCCAAAATGACTTCTATGTCATATTCTCCCCCTTCCTTAATTTTGCCTTTTCTTCACCATTCTCCTTGACAATGTGAGTTTTCAAGTTTGGGAAGCCTATTAAGAGATGTCCTGGTTTCCTGCTCAAAAAAATTTTATGTTAGATGGCGCTTTAAAATTTCTATCACTTTACCTTTATTCCATTATTATTGATGACATCTTTGCTTCCACTTTAAAAACATTTTTGAACTGGTGACTAATCAATGTAAGGTCATCATCCTCCTTTGCTATAGAACTATCACAGTTAGAATCATTTTCTTTAAGAGCCACAATCTTCTCATTCTTTCCACCTGCATCATTTAGTCTTTGACTGATGCCCTATTTGTAGGTAATGAGTAACCCAAGCAAATTATTAATTGATTATACATTCAAATCCCTTGATTCAAAAATATAAGTAACTTTAGCATCATAAGAATATGGAAAGAAACATTAAATCTTATTAAATTTATTAGAATTAGAAAGTTCTTTACCTAGTGCTTACAAGGATGTCACTATCTGGGTAAACCTAGTGTACATTTCAGATACACTCTCGCTAGGTTTCATGCAAAATTTTTTGTTGTCATGTTATAAAATATTTAGCTTAAACTATTTAACTTCACTAGTTCCCTCATATGTAATGCATAGTTTATCCCATATCTCCTTCCCCATAGTACAAGTCGATACTCACATATAATCCTCATACTTCAAAGAATATGAAAATAATTTAAACATTCAACATTTAATTATGTGAGTTCTCTTTTCTAATAACTCCATTTAGTAAAGGGAATATCAATTTTGACACTATTAACTACATGAGGTGGAATTGAATAACCAGTTTGAATCATAAACCAAATTCTTTAGTCAATGGATTTCAATAATGTAGACATGCAAATTTTTTAGAAGTTGAATGGGATGTTTTCAAACAAAGGTGGATAGTTATAGAATAACCCTTGTAGTATTCCTATTACAAAAATGTATCATTAGATTTATACTTGAAGATTTTAAATTTTATATTTCCAGACCCACTCTTATACAACTTGAAAGTCTAAGGAGGTTATGAAACCTCAATGAATTAGCCTGAGGAGGACCAAGAGTGGGGGTGAATTGTTTATTTAAAAATTCCTCAACAAAAATACTATTATGTATTTTTCTAAAAAATATATATATTTTAAAACTAATCCAAATAATTTTCTTAAAAATGTGCGGAAGCAATTGAGAATTTAAAATACTTTTTCAAAGCATGAGAGTTATTCTTTTTGTAAACCATAACCTATTCTAATTGTAATTGATTATAAATATTAAAATATGGGCAGTAAATTCAACTTGCAGATAATAGAAAAAATAAATTATAGAAAATTAGTAGCGAAAAGGAAAAAGCACACCATAAATTTTTATATTAGTTCGGTCAACCTTGACATACGTCCACTCCCCACCAAAGTTCTCTGCTCTAGGTATTTCTCTAAACTAATTGTCTATCCTTTTGCACCCAAAGCAAGGCTGAGAAGTCCTTATAAAAATCCCTTCAACTAACCCTAGAACGTTAGAGTGCTAGAAGCTATGTCACCCTCCTGGTGATAGTAGTGAACCTTCAATCTTCTTCTTCCTCCTATAGAAGGAAGAGAACCTCATCCCGTTTTCTCCCCCTTGGAGAATGTAGAGAACCTAAAGTACTTAACTTTGAAGCCTCTCTCCGAAGAGAAACTTCAAGGACTCACTAGGCCATAGGAGGAATCAAGGTGGAAGCAAGCATGGAGCAACCATATAAACCCCTCACACTACTTCTCCCTCACGCTAAACCTCCTTTCTTCTTCCTATCTTGTGAAGAGCTCTCAAAAAATATTTTCTCTAATAGTTCCTTCAATAGCTAACCACTCCTCTCTTTTTCAAAAAGATTTTTAAAACATTGCTTGAGTATTGGTCATCAAAAACCCTAAAAATTCAAGTTGGTTATCTATGTTCATACAGAATGATTTATATTTGTACATTATGAAACGTTCTAAAATTGTCATTTAGAAAAAAAAAATCATATTTTACAAATATATCGTACAATACAATCATGAGATTATAGTATGATATATTTAATTTCTCTATATTCATACATGAGGATACCTGGGATGATTGAAAATTGTCTCTGTTAGTCATTCCTTATTGTTCTTATTGTACATTACAATAAGTTGATTTCTAATAAGTCATCTAGTATGATGTATTAATTGTGAAGTATGATTAGTTCAATAATCATAATTTTATTTGGTACGATCTTTATGATGACCAAATTTCATCTCTATCAATTATTTTGTATGATCAAAATCATACAGAACAATCTACTATCATTAATTAAACCATAATTTGATTGACTAATTATGGGGGATAATGTATGAAAGATTTCAAAATATCATACAGTATGATTCATACAATATGATTCAGATCATATAGTATGATTTGTTCAAAAATTATTTTTTCAATTTATTACTTAATTTTCCTCGCGGGTAGGGTTTACTAATCAAAATGAATTGTATAGTACGATAAGCATCATACAATATGATTAGTTCACAAAAATTAATGATTAAATTAGTCGTTAAATTTTATTTTCCAAAATTTAATCATACAATATACTTATATATCATATATAACGATTAGTTTAAAAAAATTATCTTAAATTTTCTTCACACCACTTATGTGTGTGTACAATCACTAATTGTGTACACCCTTATATGGCCAGACTCAATAAATAGAAAATTATTAGAAAATTAAAATTACAAACTCTTTCTGACTTGACATCCTATTCTATCCAAGCTTGAGTCTTCAGTAGTCTTGAGCAAGGTATGATTTCCTAAAATGTTAGTGCACATAGACAAAAAATAATATCCAACATTTATCCTAAGAGGAATAAAAAACTCAAGCAAAAATATTTGTTATCATCAAAATCTCAAGCTTGGGATCCTAGATTGCAATATATCTTAAGAGAATTACAAATAAGAAGAAATTGAAAGAAATGATAGGTTGTGAAGGAAATTAAAAATGTAATCCCCATTTTATAACTCGATGGAGCACTCAGCACTATGAGAAATGGTATCATGGAGCTCAATGTATGAACAAGATAATAAAATAGTAAAATTGATAAGTGCTACAACAATCTATGTCGCATGGCATAGAAGCACTTATTTTGGGAATTTGTAGCATCGCTTTAGAATTTTCCATCAATGTAGCATTCACATGTGTAAGCACAAGGGCCCTTGCATCAATAACCATCGCGATGCTATTAAAAATCTATAATATAGGTGTAATGCCATTGCGGTGTTAGTTATCAATGTCGTGGCATTTATAAAAGTTTCATAATTAAATTTATTATCGTATAATATTCTTTCGACTTGGAAGAACCAATCTTTTTGACTTGGATGGTAGGCACTGTGGTGCTCAAATAATCAGCATCGTGGTGTCAATTTTTCAATCAAGTACTAATTAAAAATGAGCATTTCTCGAGGTTTAATGTTGTACTGCTTTTTTTTTTTAAATTCAACTCTTAAGAGAGCAATGTTATTGAATTAAAATAATTAGTGCTATGGGGTGTAATTAAGTTTGTGCTCATTTCTTATTTACTAAATTTAGATCATAATTTTAATTATCATAACAAAAAAATGCAAAATATGACAAGAACAACAACATATGCAACATGACTAATGTAAATTCAAACTATTAACATGACACACTAAACCTAAATTTGGGTTGCCTTCCATAATGAGCTAAGTTTTTAATCTTCAGCATAACTTTCTTAGGCTTATCAATTTTGTTATGGTATAATACCACCATTATTCAAATGATTTTCACTTAATCTTCATATTTTTCATTTGGGTTAACTTCAATATTGCTAGGAAATAATCCAAGAGGTCTAATACCAACAAATTTTCTAATTTACTTCAATTTTAGTGTTTAGTCAGACTTGCCTAGATTTTATGTAGGTCTTGGATTAACAGCAGGTTGCTGAAGATAGTTCCAATTTACTCCTTAATTAATTTTTGATCATAATTTCATTGATTTTTACCAATAACATTATTTGACCAAATAAAATTAGGATGGTTCCTCCAACCTGGATTATATGTATTGAAGAAGGAATTATTTTGCCTTCCAATCAAATTAATTATTTCAATCACTTGCATAATGTTATTTTTAGTTAATTTTTTATCCTCCAATTACATAGATGATTCAGTTCCTAAACAAGAATTCACTCCTTTTATGCTCAACTTCTTAGAAATTGCTGCAATTTATATAGTGAATATTGATAAAGAATCAAATTCATAAATTCTTTCTACTCGCTTAGATTTACCATACCTCCAAGACACTAGAAATTATTTATAGCCATTTCCTCTATTAAAGAATTATGCTTCCTCAGATGGCTTAGACATTAATGGTCCTTTAGCTGCAGCATCTACGATTACTCTAACAGATCCGACAAATCCATTATAAAATATTTGACTAACTTATCAATCAGATAAAGTATGGTGAGGATATTTCTTTGGCATTTCCTTAAATCTCTCCCAACTCTCATAAATGAATTCTCCTTTAAAATGGGTAAAAGAAGTGATAACATTTATGTTGTAAATCTAGTTTCATGAATTATAGTTTTGATGATAGCAAACAATCCTATTTCTCTACGACTGCCTTGCCTACTAACATTTCAGGACCACAAGATCAGACGACAATCGGAACCAACTCAAGATTGGGTAGACTAGGTCTGAGTCAGTTCGTATTGTACTTTTTCCATTTCTTGAGTCAATTATAACTTTTGAGATGTTTGAAGCTATGTAACCCTACACACACACACTTGAGTGATTTTTCTGATTTTTACTCATATCGGCCTGAACAATGTTTATATCGTCCGGGATGATCAGGTTCAAAATCAAAACCTTAATTAGGGCATCATGGTTAAGGACATTTGTCATTAAGCTGATCAGCCTGGACGATATGTGTATCGGCCAGGATGATAGGCTCAATTAAGAAAGAATCAGCTGCCATGATCAGTTTAGGTATTCTTTATTTGATAAAGTCGCCCGGGACGATATCCACATCATCCTGGATGATCTAACTCAACTATGCCTAAATTAATATGGTATCTTTAGAAAGTATTAAAGGCTGATTGATTCGATCACATCATCCGAGATGATCACAAGATCGGTCAGGACGATGGCCTGGATGATTTACATCGGTCAGCATCTATTCCGGGCGATGATCTGGACGATTGACATCGGCCAGCATCTATTCCGGGCGATGATCAGGATGATTGTAATCGGTTTTAAACTAATCGGCCAGGATGATATAGAATCGGCCTGGATGATGTAACCAATTTTCTTCTAATCATCCCAAATCATCCGGGGCTGATTGAGCTTAATTTGTACTGATCGGCTAGGAAGATATTCCTATCATCCTGGATGATAATGTCAGCAAGTTGCAATTAATGAGCTATTCCGAAGCTCTTCTATTTAAGAGCTCTTGTTCAATATTTTGAATAATCGTTTACTGTTGTCTTGACCTGAGAGAGCCTGGAGGAGAGGGAAAGAGAGGGAGATAGAGAGAGGAACTTGTGAGGGGGAGTTTGTGAGAGGATTCACAAGGGTTGCTCCAAGCAAGGTTAGAAGTCATCTTTTCCGATCATCCTCTCTTATCCTTGGAAGGTTGAGAGAAGTAAGCTTCAGCAATCGATTGAGGTTCTCTTCCTACTTCAGGAGGAAGCAAAAGGAGTTGGGTTCTCTGCCTCATCGGGTCGGTGAAAAGGAGTTTTTGTAAGGGCTTCTCCGCCTTGCTGTGGGAGCAAAAGGAGAGTCATGTTTGTAATCAATACTCGGAGGGCGCCTTCGGGGAGTGGGCATAGGTCGAGTTGACTGAACCGCTATAAATCCTTGTGTTCTTTTTCTACTGCTTCCGCATTTAATTTTTTGTACTTTTATTTTCATTGTGGTGACTTTGGTTTGAGTTTTTGTGTTTTGTTTAAATAATTTTTAAAATATCAATTCACCCCCCTCTTAGTTAGCCTTGGGCTAGTTCATATGGGCCTAACATCCCTAACGAACTTTCAAGTGGTATCAGAGCGGGATTCATAAAAATTAAGTTTGAAAACTTTTTGAATTTTGATTCATGGCTAACAACGGTAATCGTAATACAAAGGAAGGATATTCTATTTCACGACCACCTTTGTTTGACAATCTTCCTTTTGATTTTTTAAAAACTCGCATGTCTTTTTTTTTACAATCAACTGATTATCGCATGTGGATGCTTGTTAAAGAAGGATATTCTCTACCTTCTCATGAACTTAATGGAATTAAAACTGAAGTACCTTTTACTGAATGGACTTTTGATGAAAGAGATTTAGCACAACTCAATGCAAAGTGTTTGAATTATTTTTCTATGCTTTAAAATATGAAGATTACATGCGTGTTTCTACTTACTCTACTAGTAAAGAGATTTGGGATAGATTGTGCATTACTTATGAAGGAACCAATGAAGTTAAACAATCTCGTTTGAATATTCTCTTGCATGATTACAAACTTTTTCATATGAAACCTTCTGAAATGATTTCTGAAATATATACTAGGTTTACTCAGATAATTACTTCTTTGCATGTCTTAGAAAGAGAACTTTCAAATTATGAAAAGTGAACAAAATTTTGAGATGTTTGCCTTCCTCTTTTGATGTTAAAATCACTTCAATTATTGAATCCAAAGATTTAAACACTTATTCGATTGACAACTTACTTGGCTCACTCATTGCTTACGAGCAAGGGGTGAATCAAAGAAATCTTGATGCATGTGAGAAATGAAAAGAGAACATTGTGGCATTGAAGGCCAACAACACAGACTTCGACTCTTCCGGGTCTGAAAGCGATGACATTGCCTTAATCACAAGGCAATTCAAAAGCTTTCTAAGGAAAAAACAAAAGCATCATCAGAATTGGAGAAAAGGTAAAGATAATAAAAATTCTAAAGGCTCTCCTAATATTGTTTTTTTTGAATGCAGGAAGCCTAGACATGTGAAAGCTGATTGCCCTACACTTAAGTCTCACTCAAGCAAGGAAAAGGGTGACGAGAAACCCAAGTTCATGAAGGACAAAAAGAGACTTCAAAAGGCATTCTGGGCAGACTCTACAACTGATTCATCTGAGACTGAACCTGGAGATGAGACAACAAACTTGTGCTTAATAGCAGAAAATCATCTTAATCAAAAAGAAGCATGTGAACTAACCTATGACCAACTGTGAAGTTTCTAAAAAAATTCATGCATCATATAAAAATTTAAGAAAACTCATGCTAGTTTGAAATTGGAGCTTTTGAATTTACAAAAAGAGCATAAAATTTTTATTAAAGATCATTCAATAATTGATTCAAATCACATGGCCCTACTTGATGAATTTGATGAGTTAAATAAAAGCATTCTGAATTAATTGATTAGCATGATTCATTAAAAGCTTCACAGACCTCACTTGAATCTGATTTTAAGAAATCTAAATAGATAGAGCAAAATTTGAGAATTGACAATGATGCTTTAGAAAGTACTAACTTGAGGTTTAAAGATGAATTGGATACACTTAAGAGAAATTGGAAAAAACCCACATTTGATCTAAAGCCAAGACCTAGGAAGAGGCATTATAACCCAACCATTTAAGAAATCCTTTTCTTGGTGTTAGTTATTTTTCATGTGGCATGCTAGGACACATCTCACATACTTGCACTGTTCACCGTAGTATAAATTGGGTGTGGAGACCCAAATTGCATGATTCACAGTATAGCGCACATGCATTGCATTCTACTTTTCATGAGAAGGGACCCAAATCTGTTTGGGTTCCTAAATCTGACATTTGATGATTTTGTAGGCAAGCTTTCACAAAAGGCCTCATGAGAGCATGTGGTACCTGGACAGCGGATGCTCTCGACATATGACTGGCGATGCCAATTAATTCATTTTTTTGGAGACCAGAACAGGAGGCAAGGTTACTCTTGGAAACAACACCATTAGGAAGGTGGTAGGCGCAGGTATAATTGGTAATTCCAAGAATCTTATGATTGAAAATATTTTTTGTATAGATGGATTAAAACACAACCTGCTCAGCATCGGTCATCTTTGCGACAAGGGATTCATCATACAATTTTTTACAAATTCAAGCATTATAAGCTTAAGTAACAACACGATTTTGCAGGGAAAGCAAATCAACAACATTTATATGCTTGATTTAAATAACATTGAATGCACTGCTTCATTTTTCTTAAAAACTATTATTGATGATTCATGTTGTGGCACAGGAGATTATGTCATGCAAGTATGAAAACCCTTCGGAAAGTAACCCAAAAAGACCTAGTTAGAGGAGTTCCCAAGCTTAAGTTTTCTAAAGACCACCTTTCCGATGCCTGCCAATTAGGAAAGCAAGTCCACTTCACTTTTCACCCCACTAATGACATTAGCACCTCTAGACCTTTAGAAGTCCTTCACATGGATTTGTTTGGACCCATTAGCACTGCCAGTTTGGGAGGAATAGTCTATGGTTTTGTAATTTTCGATGACTACTCGAAGTTCACTTGGATTATATTTCTATCACACAAAAATGAGTCTTTTGAGGAGTTTAGAAACTGTTTTACTTGGATTCAGAAAAAGCTAGGTTGTGAGATCTTGATCATCCATAGTGACCATGGGGGAGAGTTTGAAAATGAGAGATTTGCAGCTTTTTTTAGGACAAGGGGATTAGCCAAAACTTCTCAGCTCCTAGGATCCCTCAGCAGAATGGGGTAGTCGAAAGGAAGAACCGGACCTTAGTGGAAGCCTCTAGAGACATGCTTGCTGAGTATTCACTTCCAAAATACTTTTGGGCTGAAGCGGTTAACATAGCTTGTTATTTGTTGAATAGGGTGAATGTTAGAGCCAAATTAGATAAGACACCCTATGAAATCCTTAAAGGTAGGACACCCAATCTTTCCCACCTTCATGTCTTTGGTTGTAAGGTTTTTATTCACAACAATGGGAAGTCTCACTTAAAAAAATTTGATCCAAAATCTGATGAAGGAGTGTTCTTATGATATTCTAGTGTTGGAAAGTCTTTCAGGGTGTTTAATAAGAGGACTTTGATGGTGGAAGAGACTACACATGTAATGTTTGATGAATATGATCCTAGAAAGAATAGAGTTGAGGATGATGATGATGTTGGAGAGATTACCACTGGAGTAGAAATTTTGGAGAAGGGAGTAGAACACCAAAACACTGAAGGAGTAGGAGATGTTACCCAATGAGTAGAAAATGTAGATCTGGAGAAAAGGGTTGAACCTTCACACACCTTGCCTATAGATTGGAGATAATCTTCGAGTCACCCTAAAGATTTGATCTTAGGAGACCCTTCTAATGGAGTTAGGACTAGACATGGACTTAGGAATGAAGTGAACCACTCTACCTTTATCTCAATGACTGAACCCACCAACATAAACCAAGCCCTTTCTGATGAGTTTTGGATATTAGCCATGTAGGAGGAGTTGAACCAATTTATTAGGAATAATGTTTAGGAGCTTGTAGAAATACCTAAAGGACAAAGTGTAGTTGGAACCAAGTGAGTCTTTAAGAATAAGG